AACTAGGCTGAATGGAGTGGGAGGTCTTATCCTACATATTAAGTAAGCTAGATTTAAAAGCATAAGTAGGCTAAAAAGAGACTATTTTTAAAAAAAAAAACAGACCTTAACAAAGGTCAGCCATCAAGGTAAGATTGTGTTCTCATTCGTCGAGAGTCGGATAAAATAGGATCCATGAATAGTGAATAAAAGTTAAATTACTATAATGAGCAACATATGTGTGTTGCATTAGCGAAAACAAAGACAATCATTGCATGTGAAAAGAAAGTCTTGAGCTAGGATTCGCAATTGCGGAGGTCTCTAATATCGTATTAGTTGAAAAAACGAGGAGATAGCATTTTCTTGTTAATGGTGATCTTTACAAGCGCAAATGTCTTATAGAAAAAGCCTCTTTGGATTATATTAAAGATTTTATTTTCCTCAAGCATTTATGATTCCATTTTACTCAAGGATTATACAAGACTATATTATGCTGTATAAATCAAATTGATCGAAGAAAATTTTTATTATTTATACCTTCACATGATTGAACCGATTTATATATACATATATATATATATATATATATTTACATATGCTTAGACTCGATTTAATCAAGGCCAAGAAAGGTTTCCTCGTTTCAAAAAAATGCATCAACCATCCAATTCTTTGTGAGCATGCATTTCATTACAAGTGTCCACAAAGCGTTGAGTTCAGAAGGTTAGACTAATCGAAAGCCCAACTAGCAGTCGATGGTCGTTCGGTTATGATTGATCGCGTATAGAATTTCCTTTTAAATGCGTCCACAATTTTGAAGTAATTTTTCAGTTATAGCGGAAAACTCGATCTCGAATTTGTGACAACTATATTGATACGGATCAGTTGAATATTTTATATAAAACGACATCATAAATAATTTATAATGAAAGTTTTATTTTATATATCCAAAATGTATAGATGATAGGTATCTAAGCTTTGTCTATGGATGATTTTATAAACACCACTTACTTACTATTTCCTTTTTATTTAAATACAGTGCATATTCGCTTAAATTAATTTATTTTCTTCTTTTCTTTTCTTGTTTTCGTTTTATTTTACGTAGTTTTGCTTTTTGCTTTATTTAGTTTATCATATTCTGCGAAAATATGCAAGAAAAACTTAATTATTTATATATTTTTCAAATTTTAAGTTAACTTTCTTAACTTTACTGAAATACTGAGAATAATGATTTCGAATTTTTCCGTTATTCCCATTGCAAAGTAATTTTAACAAGAATGAAATAACAATAATGCAATAAAACAATAAAAAAGTGAAACTATGAAAGCATCAGTTAAGTAAATGATCGGATCATTCACTTTAAGGTGAAAGAACATTTTAATGAGAGTTGAAAATAATTAAAAAAAAAAAAAATAAATAAAGAAATAAATATATATATATATATATATATATATATATAAATAAACAATGTAACAATATATATATATATATATATATATGTCTATATGTATATATGTATATATATATATATATATATATATATGCATGTATACATTTTTCATGTTTTATTTATATTCTTTGCAAACTTGATAATGTTTACACAATATTTATATAAAGATTTAATAGATTAGTAATAATATCAATGCCGTGTCTATATATAAAATTTTTATTTAAATTAACGAATTTTTCATAATACTTAAAAACAGAGATAGAATAGCATTTTGATATGCTATTATAACCGGAAAATAATTTCACTTTAACAGTTGACTTGTGACAGTTAGCCGAACGCAGAACAGCTTCGTTATATTTTAAGTGCTTGCGTGTTTTCACTTCAGAAAGGCATTCATTGAGAAAAATTGCTGCAGAATATTTTTTTTTTTCATCTTTTTTTCTATAATTTATTTCCCATCATTCTGGCAACGATATTGGTTTAGCATCGATTCAATCATGGATCCATTTTCGTAGTTCTTCGGTAGTTGTTCGAAGCTGAATGCCACCCAACCTTGCATACGGGAGAATTTTTCCATTTCAGCCGCAACCGGGTGTGTCCTTGACAAATGTTGCAACGTGTGACCGATCGCTGTTAGGCGAAAAGATATGAATTTATCTATGTTAACCGGTATTGTTAACCGGTCTTTTTTGCAACAATACATCCTTTTCGTTTGTAAGCATCTACAGTAACAGTTTCGTTCGGTTTTCGCAGCTCGTAATACACAATAAAGCTTTATGATCCCATCATACGCGCAGCATAGCTTTGTGACCATAAAAATTTTGCTTCGGTATCGATGTGAATAGCTCTCCTGCATTAATCTATAATTGCTTGTGCTTGGGATTGTCGTAGCAGACTCACTTTTCATCGCCAATCATAAGTAATGGCGCCACAAAAAATCCTTCTTTTTCGCCCGGAATGAAAGCAAATGAAAATAATGTATGTCCAAAACGCAATTTTGACCGTTCCATTGTTAGTCTCTGTGTGCACTGAATAACTTTATAATACTAGATGGAAAACTTTTATTTTATCTTGAGAAAGGACAAAATCATCGAATTTAATCCTTGTGCACATTGATACTTCATATTACTTTATCTCATTCATCAGGAGATACATGCGCGCACCTATTAATTTTCATGATCGACACAGTATTTTTAATTCGATTTGTTTTTTTTTTTATTTTTTATATTCATAATTTATATCAAACTCTCAGAAAGTTTAGAGGTTTAAATGCCAAAATCAAATCCTTATTCTTTCGATCCACGCCTATGAATATTCGTATTGATAGTTAGTTATGATTTTCGTCTAGTTACACTTTCAAAAACTGGTTTTTTAAAATTTGTTTTTGTATTCGAAAGTCAAGGTTTTATAAGTGATGTAATTAACCTGAAGAACTAGTTTTTTTTTTTTTGTTTTTGGCGGCATTTATGTAAGTTATTTATAGCAATTACAATTAAAAAAAGTGTGATCAACTTAAATAGGATCCACCGTATGATTATCAACTTAAAAGCTTCCTGTGTTAATTCTCCGCTTTAACATATGAAGCCCTGTCATAGTTCGTATAGATTGTTCATGAAAATGTTGTTACATTTCCCGCTGAATTTCTCCTAAATTAAGTTCATATCACTGAATTGTGATTTTTATACCCTCACATCACTTATGATATAGGGTATTAATTAAGTTAGTGCGATTGTATGTAACACGCAGAATGGTTTAAGATAGACCCCTATTTTATAATACCAATCGATTCAGAATCATTCTCTAATCCTATCTGACCGTCTATCCGTCTGTCCACATGATACGCCCGATCTGTTCAACCTACAAGTAGCAATTTCCAGTTGGCAAATTTCATCAAAAATCTCAAAAATTGCGACTTGTAGGTTGAACAGATCGGGCGTATCATGTGGACAGACAAGCATAGATTGAAATAGTTGGTTGCACTTTCAATTCTTACGCATCTTAAAAATGTCCACAAATACTCAACACCTATGGTATATGTAGGATATAGACAAAAAATCCGGACGCGTCGGTGCCAAAAGTGTTAATAAATTTGAAGCCTTTTTCCCAAACGTACGATGAACATAATTCAACGTAATCATCAAAACATGAAAAACATGTAAAGGCTAAAGTGTGTAACGGAAGTGGTTTTCGAAATATTCTTGAAAGATCGTTCGCTGCTTAACCGGTGCATTATCACCTATGTCTATTAAATTAAGGTCTAAATGGCTGTCGGCAGGCATGACTGTGACATGAATTGTTTTAAAACATTTCCGAAAGCTTGGTAAGTTTCGTTACGAGTTTATGTTATTTTTTTCGCGGAATTATGCATAGACGCAATATGATAATTTTACGAAAATGACAGATTTGATAAAATCAGCTCACATGACAATTGCGATGGAAAATGAAATTTTCCAAAACATCCAGTAAGGCCTACGTCTTAGACAAAGGTCACTGCACACATCTGAACATTTTTATCCATTAATTTAGTCAGCGAATATGTTTTCTAAGACTAAAATCGGAAAGCACTAGCATCTAAAGCTATAAAGGCTTTATTGGACACTCTACCGCATTTGAGATTTGAACTTACGATCATTGAGTTGTTAGTCGAGACTATTTGTCTGCTCAGCCACTCAGGCTCAGATTTATCCGAAAGTTAATAAAAAATTTTTGTTAACAAACGAGAGATTACATGTATTAGATAGGAGAAATAGCAAAACCATCGGAATATCCTTGTCTAGACTAGCTTTCAAGAAATTTATAAGCAAAGGATTTGTCCAAGCCGAGTGAGGTTAAATCGTCGTTTGTAAAGGGGGAAATCAAAATTGTATTGCGAAAGTGAAGCGTTGTTGAAGGTACGTGCCTCGGTAAGACGGTAATTCATTTTTTGTAAATACTCCTTTCCTTGTGGTACACGCGGTATATTAATTTAGTGCGATCGTATGTAACACGCAAAATTGCTTAAGATGCATCCACCTTTTATAATACCGATCGATTAAGAATCGTAATTGGGGATTGATCTAATCGATTTGTCTGTTCGCCTCAAAACTGTCCATTCTCTCCTACGTAAGAATTTAACTTGTACTACATTAGGTTGCGCTTGGGACCTGCTTCCCCGGAAATACGCACATGAAAAATATGCCTTTATAAATAAGAATTGTCTTAGACAATGTGGTGTAGGGTATTTAATGATCGGCCTTGACCGACTATAATATTCTTATTTATTTTTTGTATAAATAAAGTACACGATCTTATAAAGATCTGACTGAGGATTGTAAGACAATGTGTTCCTTGGTTAAGTATTGAAATTTCAATACATTTTAACTAAATAATGAGAATTTGTCATTATTATCCCTAATAGTAGTCGTCACAGATTGAGATTTAAAATGGATTGGTCCCAGTCGCATTGTGCTAAACTTTAGATAAGTAAAAAACTTTCTGGCGTTTTTTCTTTTCACTAAAAATTCAAAAACACTTTTTCTATATTTTAAATGTACATATATATATATATATATGAGTACATATGAATATATGCCAGTCCGACAGATGGTTTTCTGCTATTTTGCTGATAAAATCATTATGATAGCTCTATATAACTTTTGGGATATTTGATTGAGATGTTCTTTTGGATTTTTCACTGAACTTTTGGCGAGTCATTAAAACTGTCCGTGTCCTTGCATTATCGCGATATAAAATGATGACTTTTTTATAAACTAATTCTCTATGCGTTAACACAATTCAATTTCGCTTCTCAATCGTATTCGTTGTTGGCAGTGCCGAGTCGAACGACCCCCATTCAAACACGATTAATTTTTGTGGCGCCTAATCGGATTTTATCATCGCTTGTGCGTGTGTTAGTTTCGTTCACAATATTTTCGAACATTATTGTCATTTGTGACTCGGGTTTTTGTTCACTTCGACATAATTTCATTCATTTCGTTTCGATAACGATCCGTATACGAAAATTCGATTCATTAAATTTTTCACGTTTTACTTATGCGATACCAAAATATTCGACTCGTTTTTGCATACAGCAAGTTCCGCATCGCCGTCTTTCATGACGAAATTTCCGCAGCGAAAAGGAGTAAATTACAAGTCTTCGAAGCGACAACACTTTGGTGGAAGTAAGCTTTGACATAGTATGGAGTGACTTTTTTTAGAAGTTCGGAAGAAGTTGTAAAGCTATTGCCTTAATTCGCTTAGGACTGTCATCCTTCAAATGCGCCCTAATTAGTTATTATGCAATGTAACGGGATTCTAAGGAAAAGTAATGGGAAGCTGTCCTCTTAAATCTTGACTTTTTGAAGAGCGTCCTTTAAAAGTTTTTAAATTAAAGATGGGCTCTGATGGGCTAATTGATCCGCCCACATTTCAGATAATGCTTCGAAATTTTAATGGATAGATGGATGGATGGATGGATGGATGGATGGATGGATGGATAGATGTATGAATGGATGGATGGATGGATAGATGGATGGATGGACGGATGGATAGTGCGCAAGATTCGCTTTAAAGCGATTGTAATTTTTTTCCTGACATTATATCACTTTGTCTCTTTTTTTTAAGTAAGTGGATTTTTTGTCTTTGTTGATTATTTCAACTTTATCGTAGAGTTTTTTTTTCCACGTTTTTTTGTTATTCAAATGTTTTAATCTACAAATTTCTTATATAACCCAATTTTCATGGATATTGTTTAGTAGATTTTTTGCAGCCGGCCATGAGTTATTGCAATTGTTTGTTTTCTTCTTTTTGGTTTTTCCTTTCTTTATATACATATATGCATGGATAGATACATACATACATACATACATACATACATACATACATACATGCATGCATACATAGATACGTAGGAGTTACTAATGGATTATTTAATTGTGACTTATTTAATTAATTAAACTAACCAATACATTTAAGTAAATAAGGGAAGAGGAAGAGGAAGAAGTCTATGCAAAAGACCAACAAACAGCGTAAATAAATTTCATTGAAAATCTCCAGCGCAAACAACAAGCAATCATCACTTATCGCTTACTATGTGTGCAAATAGAGGTAAAGACATCTTTTTTTTTTTTTATCCGCGCATACATAGCAAATCACAGAATATATATATATATATATATATATATATATATATATATATGTATATATTTATATAGTGTATGGCAGGTTCTTATTTTTTTTTTTTGTTATACTAGATAGAACCAACAAAACATGCCAACGTGTATATGTGTGTATAAATGTACGTCATGTTTTTAAACAAAGGTAATTAACATTTATACGTACATTTATATATAAAAGCTAAAAACAAAAATTAAATTCATTACAACTTAGTCTTCAATAGTGAAGTCCCACGGTCGCTGGTTAAAAAGTAAAGTAAAAAAAAAAAAAAAAAAAAAAAATAAATAAATAAATGAATTAATAAAAAATTGAAAGAAAAAAACAAAAAAAAATTAATAAATAAATAAGCAGAAAACAGTTCCGCTTTCCACGTACATAAGGCATAAATAAAAATGAAATTCTTTTTCAATTTATTAATAATGACATTAATGTTAGCGATCGGTATCCGAGCCGATTTACGTTATCGTGGCAACGCGGTGCATCCAGGTTAATTCATCATTGTTAATCTTATCCGGCAGATCATCATACATTGTTGTCTTCTTTTTCTCTTGTGTGTGTGTTTTTTTTTTTTTTTTTTTTTTTTTTGCAGATTATCCCGGCCAGTGTTATTATGAGGATTTACAGCAACCGATACCCGTTTCGCAATCGTTTAAACCGATAAATCGCGATGGCCGTTGCGAAAGCATTTATTGTCGTAACGATTTTGTTCTGGAAATTGGAATGTAAGTGCATTTTAATTTAGCATATTACGCTTACGCCTATTATTATTATTATTCTCAATTGATTTATATTACGAAATAGATGTCCTCGTCATAACATGCAAGAGACTGACGAGTGTTCGATTGTCAGTGATTTAACAAAAGCTTATCCAGATTGCTGTCCCAAGTATGTCTGTAAGAAGGCCGAAGATAATTTTATATAAAACGAACACGATATTAAAAAGAAATTTATTTTTACAAAAAAAAAAAAAAAGCTAAGAAAATTATTGTTTGCGAGAAAATAAAAATTCATTATTATAATTGTTGTTAAAAACAAAATCGATAATAAAAATAAAATGAATCTCCTTTAAGGATCTACCCATACTTGCTCGATCGAGCGAACACTTAATTGTCCGGAATCCGGTTTATGAGGGATTAAAACAAACGATGTCTATGTGCCATGTTGTCTTAATAATAGATGAAGGAAAAAATTCATGGCGCTTTTTTTCAATTTTTTTTTTTCTTTCGATTTTTTAAAAAAACGAACTAACTAACCCATTTTCAGTAAAAAAAATGTTGCCATTTTTGTGATAAAATCCAAACAACCGCCATCATTATAGAGGTTCAACGATTTTTGGGATTTTTCGGGCGAAAAACTAAACAAAATGAATTTCATCGGTAATTTTTGGAAATTAGTTTTGCATGCATAGGATAAGTGAATTCTGCACGAAATTTTCATCTTTCATACGCGTTGTATGCGTTGACACATTTACTATCATCAACGTTAGTTTATTAAGGCATTACTGTGCAAAATGCTACGAACTTTTTTCCCTAGACTCCATATACCTCAGTGGATGTCTGCTTTCTAGGCAGATGTTAAAAAGGCACCTCCCTCTTAATTAACGCTTAGCAAAATTTGCGAAAGTGTTCAGTGGTTGTGTATTCACGATCGATCGGTAGAATATATGCATTCAATTTTTACATATTTACATCAAGATTTACAATAATATTTGCTACGGATTTTAGATTATGGTTTTATTATTTATGGTATACGCATTACAATCTTGATTGCAAGTTTGATCGATTTGTGATCATGAACGAGTATACGTCATATATGTCAATCTTAGCCTTTTTATTGACATATCTGTGATCTTACTTTACGGCAGCTTCGTCTGATAGATGCAAACCTAATGGAAAATACGTCTATCTTCCGTGCGCTGAGTACAGGTATTGAACTTTACTAAAAAAAAAAAAAAATCGTCAAATATACGCATTTTCGATCAATTTCAATACAAGCTACAAACTTGTATTACGAAAAAGAACCGTAAGCACTTTATTTAAAAGTCGCATAAATCGGTTCGAGTCAATGATAACTGCTCTCTCTCTCTCTCTCTCTCTCTCTCACTCTCTCTCTCTCTCTCTCTCTAATTATGCCATCTTACAAATTGAAATCTACTTTTCCATCCTTGCATACAAATTTATATCGATATCGGCTATAGCTAATATATTATTAATGGATACGTACGGATTTCCGGTTTTTCAGTTTTCCAACTATTTCCATAAAGCATGTTTGTCTACGGATTATCATCCTATAGGAACTTAGGTCTGTACCCATCAATTAAAACAATATATGCCAAGTCTAATTTTTATACTTTGCACTGGATTGTGGTATAAGGGTATATTCAATTTGCGCGCATGGACTCACTCTTTGATTCATTTTGATCATTTTCTGAATCTATCTAAGCTTGTCTGTTCGTCTGTATATCTTGTGTTCAGCATATAGGTCGCAATTCGCAATGAGATATTTTGATGAAATTTATTGCACTGATGTGTTTTGACCCAAGGACGAATGCTATTGAATCATTAATTGGTATCAGATCAATTTTTGGGGCCACATTCCCTATAGGGATTTATTTTAGAGTAGTTGACGATACATGGACAACACGGGGGAAGGTTGGTTTAGGGTATTTAGCGGTCGACCATGTTTTTATTTTTTTTGTTGTTTTGTCACTTGTGCGATGCCAAATTTTTTGCAATCATAAATGGGCGTAATATTGAGGCCAGTTGCAACAACTATTCGAATTTTCAAAAATACGATAATTCTCGGCATAAAAGCGTACAACGTATATTTGACAAACTCAGCGATCTTAATTCAAGATATATGTCACATGCTTTTCAAGGATTTTTGATTCATCTCCGAGAAGTTCATTATCCCGGCCTTTAGGCTTGGATTGGAAGTCCTCCAAGTTTCTGACTTTCTTCGGTTGTATTCTAGCTTAAGCGACCGTCTAAGTAGCATATCATCGACACTTTCGTTTCATAATTTACCTTCGTGCGTACATTACGAATGTCGATGATTATTTTCGTAAAATTTTTCTCTTACTTGATCTTGCATTCCATCTATTTACCGCATACACCATAAGCAAAAGCGAAAGTGTGTAAAATCTATTGAAAATTCATGTTGAATGATGAGTAGTAGGTTTCAGTTATATTAATAATTTTCTCGCTCTTGGACTTTTTTTTCTTTATTTTTTTTATTATTCGAAACATGCTAACGAGCGAAGATCAAATTCAATTTTAAACTTGATCTGCGACTATCACAGGAAATATATGTAGGCGATGCAATATATTTAGTGAATGTATTTAGTGAAGTTGGAACGAAAGCGTTTAATATGTAAGTTTTTGCAAAAAATGTTTTATGTTGCTATTAATGCAAGAGAGGTCAATATGAAGGACTAATCTTTCAAAGCGAAGAAATTGATATCTTTTGGCAGCTTGAACTCATATACCTACGTATGGAAACTTAAAGATCTTAGCTTAGCCAGGAGAAGGAGGAGGAGGCGGAGGAGGAGGGGGAGGGGGAGGGTTTAACTTAACAATACAACATGTAAAAGATATATATTTCTTATTAACTTTTATGTAATATCGATAGACAATATCGAACGTCTAAGTATTAAAAGATTCGATCTAAGCCTAATAGAAAATTCTTGATGAAAATGTAACGAAAGTAACGAGAAAAAAGTGTGATGTGATCTAATCACTGTAAGTATGTAATGTCTTTTTAATATAAATATATACATATATACATATATATATATATATATATATATGTTTGTATGTATGAACTTATGTATATATTACGGTCATTTCGGTTATCATTTTTAGTATTATTATTATTGTTGCCCCTGATGTTGATGATATTATTATTGTTGTTGTTGTAATTGCATTTAATTTTATTAATTAAAATCGAAAAGACACTTACATGCATCTATCTAGATTTGTATTGGTTGTGCCGCATATAAATACGACTTGATTTCGAAATTTTTAATATAGTTTAACGAATATATTTAAACCGTTTAAGACACCGAAATATTAATAAAATTAATTTAGAAATCAAAAAAAAAAAAAGGTTAAATAAAATAAAATGAAATCTTTAATAGCCATCAGTTTAGTGATTACAGTTATGTGTCTGGCAGTTTTCGTTGGGCAGATCTCTGGTAAAATGAATCAAATTTTTTTTGTTAAAAAAATTCTCTCTTTACTTAAATATTTTCACTTTATTTAGCGACCAGTGAACCCGTTTGCTCTTATGTCAATTCGCAAGGTGAACGAGTATTTTTAAAGTATTTCCCCTTATCTAAGAAGGGCGAGGATTATGTGGATTTCGATAGTAGCGGTAAATGCTTGAAACGTGCTGTCTGCAATGAAAAATATGAGACCAAAGTCGAAAAGTAAACCAAATTTTTTTTTTTTTTTTTTTAAATTTTTAAAATTAACTTTTTCTTACTTAATAATCTTTATATTTGTTTCCTTTATTTTCTTGCAGTTGCGCCGAGTACACCGTTAATTGTGAAAATAAAAGTCACTATAATGGCGTTTTTCCCGCTTGCTGTGCAAAATGTTAAATTATTCATTACTTACGTTATGTGTAAAAAGTTTTCTTCTTAATAAAATGAATTATTAAGAATTTTACATTGACTAAGCATTAAATTTTTAATTCTATGGTCCTATGGAGACATATACCGTCAAGCTGTGCAAATTGAGAATTGATAAAAATGCTGCGCATGCCCAGTTTCTTTTCTACAGAGATTGTCGGCACTACTCACCTAATAAGCTATAAAGTGGAAAGGGAAAAGGGCAAGAGGGGGTGGGAGTGGTCAGGTATTATTATTACGATTCATCATATATACTTTCGGAAACCAGCAAGCAGTCTTCGGTGATCTTTAAACTGTTACAACTGCTTCCTTATGAAAAATTTATATGAAACATTATGACGTTTTATTAATAATAGATAATAAAAGGCCGGCCATCATTTCGATTCATTCACTCACTTCACACTTCACTTCATGATAAAACAACATACATCACATAACATAATAGACAATAGGCTATTCGTGGGAGCGCTTAAATGAGATAAAGTTCAACAAGCAGATCCATGCGGTCCATAATTTGTTTTAAATTAATCTCTTCATCAGCCATCTTAACAGATGACCACGAATTCTACTTATAACCAGTCGATAATAAAGAATTGACTTTAGTTTCAACCTGAAGTTGTTAGAATGAGACGAGAGAATAATGCAATCCAAATCTTCATTGATACCCGGGATTTTCCCGGCAATGGAGTTTCGTTTCTCGCAAAATCTCTATAGGCATCGGGTGTCGTCTGCGTGCAGCCTTCCTTACCGCGCAGTCAGCTACTCAGGAGGTTTAGCACACAACCAGTAGGTTGTAGAAAAGCTAAAGATAGTGTAGTGTGATGGGGGCCTGGCGTGAGCTGGATTGATTACTTCTTCTAGTACATTAAATCCAAGAGGGAGACTAGTCGGGGTGACTTCCCCGGAAAATCCCAAATGCATGTGTGACGTTAATTCTAAAGCATGCTATGAACTATGGAATCTACGCAGGTCAGGCGATTGATGCTTGCCAAGATCCTTCGGGGCGATGCTTGCAAAATGATGCAGAATGATATGTCCAATCCCGATTTGAACGCTGCGCGTTAATTCATGTGTGAGACTTGACCGCTTGAGTGCGACCCTTCGGGAAGTACTCGTGGTGGCTGTGGTTATGCCTAAATGCGACGGCTTGATACGCCTCGCCTTGTCCAGAGGAGAAGATTTGGGCCATACCCGAACTTTTAATTAGTGCTTGGAATAGGCCCTCTCTCCTGCAGGATTTTCTTGCCAGGCTGATGGGTGCCCAATTTAACTATATTAATTGCCAGTGGTGTTAGGGAACTCGTCTCATTAAGGCTTCGCGCCAGGTGCAGACGTTAAATATCGATATAATTTGATACGCGTGGGACCACAATATCCGCTATTCCGCGCAGTCGCGGAGGATAGATCTATGCATCATCAGTAAATAGGTTAATGCGGCAGTTATGACCCAATGCAACGAAATCATTAATAAAGATATTAAATAAAATAGTTTAAGAATTTGTCTTTTTTGGGACGATACCCCGGTTTGATTGGCACAAGGCAAATTCTCTATGCACAAGTGCAGGCTAAGCTGATCAAAATGCTAAGTGTTGCAGCAATTTTTAATAGAGCAGGAAAAATACCGATTGTGACGTAAGGATGGATTCATCCCAACAGAAGTAATTATCGCCACTTTCCAGCTATTTTTACTGCTGCGCTCTTTTACGATAAACGGTTTGTTAACATATTATATCGCGATGTGAGGACATATCTTTCGGTTTAGCGCTATTCATCCACAAACGAAGCATTTAGAAGAGCTATTTAAAGCTCTATTAGCCTCAATAGCTGGCTAACTGGCACGATCACTTGACGGCCACAGATGAAATTTAAAAACGATCGCTTTTTATTCGTAATAGAAATGCATCTTGTATGCGTCCAAAATATTTCTCAATTTTTATATGCAGTTATTCCCAAGTGCTGGATACGGAATGATCGTCCCATGGTAAATAGAACTATCAGTCTTGTGTTTAAATGAAATTTTTCGCATTAGCAAAGACCATCTATCGGTGACTGGCTTTTGTGCCGAATTTATCCATTTTTTAGTTGGGAACTTTCCATTTGAATTATAATTATGCTCTTTAAAATTAAAATAAATATCAATAGTTAGAGGACGTTGTTATTACAATTAATTGTAATGTTTGTGTAAAATGTTGTGATAGAAAGGATATTAAAAGATTTGGTTAGCGTTGTCTTTATTTTCCTTTATTATAACGAAAATTCAAGGGACTTGAGAATTTTAAGTTAAATATGTTTATCTTAATTCAAAAATACGTGTAAGCATGTCAAAGTCCTTGCTGTTCGTTGCCATAGACGGATAGATCAGATTGCTTCTTCACTCTGTGAAACAAACTTCAACTTTAGTTTTTTGTCTATAATAACTTGAGCAGGTTTTCTTATTACGCTTCTCGGTGTCTTTGCAAACAAGTTTAGGGCAACAATCGGGATAAGCCAGCGTATCATCAGTTACAATGGAACAATCATCGGTCTCTTGCATATTGTGACGTGGGCAACTGATCGCGAAAGTGAATTAGAAAAAATTTTTTTCGCTTTTGCATTACAAGAGCACTTACAAATTCATTTCCAAAACTAAATCGTCGCGACATGTAGACTTTTCACAGGCACAAAGATTGGTAGGTTGAAATACTCCACCTACGGGCAACGCGATCGAGTACTTCTCATAATAACATTGACCCGGATAATCTGTACGAATTTCAAAATTAATTATTTAAAAATTCATAGTAAATTTGATTTATTGTAAAGCACAACCTGGATGTGTGGCATTATGATAGATGGCACCTTGAGCTGAAATGCTCGCAACCATTAGGCTACCAACGATTAACGAACTTAATAGCAATTTCATAATTTGATTTGATATTTAAAAAGCAAAGCAACGCGACCAAAAACGAACTTCTTCAATCGAATATTGAAATTTTTTATTTACTCATCCATTCATTTATAGTAATTTTTTTTGGGTAACGTTTCCCGGGGTAAAAAGGTGTTTCGAGTGTTAATTTCATTACAAGAGATCCTCGAGATACTGATTTAAGTGCAAAAACAAACACGTACAAATAATTAGATATTTCCGCTTTACTTCTCCGACCATTTATATGAGTGTAGTAATTGCGTACACTAAAATATCGATCGATGTAATCTAATCTTGGTAACTTTTTAATGAAGTCACAGCCAGACAGACTCACAGTTCGAAAAAAAAGGTAATAACCACATTACGACTTAAGATTGTTGTAGCGTTCGAAAAAAGGGCTACATAATAGAATAACAAATACTCGAAGAGATTGTTAAGCATATATATAAATATTAGAAAAAAAAAAAGCCGATAAAGCCAATAGCCTTAGATGCTGGTGTTTTAAGACGTTAAGCTTGGATTTTATTTCTCTGTCTAAATTAATTATAATAATAATAATAATAACATTGTTTTTCGCCATTAAATCGAACAAGTGAGAAAATTGAATTAGGTCGGGATCGAAGTTTTCATATCCATCGCCGTTTACCCTAAAAGAGAACAAAAGAAGTTGAAGAACAAAATTTTCATGCTCGATAATATGGATTGATTTCTTCTATTTTCAAAACAAAAGTTTTCCTTGTATAGGAATGTGGGCTTTGTAGGCGTGTCCTTTGAAAATTTTAGATGACAATTCCATATTGTTTTGCAAATTTGTAGACGATATCCTTATTTTCGCTAACGGGAGAATGTTTACCACAAATACTGCAAAGTTACGCAAGCAGACATATGGACAGACGAACAGGCGGATATGTTTAGGCGCATTCAAGGATTGTAACTGGTCAAGAATTGTTATTTGTTTACTTTATGAGGTTTTTAAAGCTTGTTTTTACGCGTTATATGGGTATTGGGAGAAAATAATTCAATTTTGATATACTATAATATTGAGTAGGCGTGGTCAATTTTTCCCATTTTTTCGTAAAGATGCTACAATATCGCCCATACAATGTGCGTTCAAATTTTTGTACATTTATTTGCTATAGTTTATGAGTAACGAGCAATAATCCCCAGTTTTTATACCTTTTGAAAAATAGAGGTTTTCTCAGTTTACGTGGTGATGTGGGCGTGTTCTACGACCGATTTAGCCTATTTTAAATCCCGATCAGCGTCGAGGAACTTCCAATGCTACTGAAAGATTTGAAGTCGATGGCTTCGTTTTTGCGGCCAGGATAATGTTTACAACAGCCATTACACGGACCCAAACGGACAGACGGTCTGCTGATCAAGAATATATATACCTTGTGCGGACTCTGATGCTTCCTTTTGGGCGTTGCAAACATTTCGACAAAATGAATAGGCGCCCTATCCTTCGGTGATGGGGACAATAAATTAGAAAACTCCGATTAAGTGTAAGATTAAGACCATTTAAATTGCAAAATATTCATTTATTTAATTGTTGTAATTATATTATAATTATTTATTTGGTACTATATGATATAAGTAGACAGCGTGAGATATAACACATGTATACTAAGGAAAATTGAATAAAATATGTTATATAAAATTCAGAATTTTTCAATATCAAATAAACGATCAAAGGAAATAAATCATATAATCTATCTTCGTACTATTCGGTTTTCTTGGTACATACGCATTTACGCGCACATCATAGCGCATATTCATGTAAAAACACAGAATTGTGAATGCTTCTGCTTTGCAAACATTTGAGAGAATGTGACGTCATATTAGGAAACTATTAACAGAATCTTTGGAGAAAAGCGAAAAATACTAGTTTGAATTTTGACCAAAATGTTGGACCATCTTGTTATTTCATTGGTGAAAATAAAAGAGCAAGTATATAAATGGCTGACCAAAATTCCTGAGAACTTAACACTTAACTTATAATGAATTAAATCTTGGGTGCTCGATGTTCTCTCCGGTTTTTGGGTATAATAATTTTAGTGCAAAAATGCTCAATCTCTTAATGGAATGGAACGAAATCGAAAATTACAATCCGCCACAAAGATTGTTGTATTTGCTATACTGAAACATTGGCAAAACTGAAAAAATTTTTTCAAATTGTGTTATTAGTTTCTGTCACGGCTTACAGTATATATGTCCATATATATTATAAAAATTATCTTGTATAATTTTATTTTCAAAAAATTTGGTCTTTTTATTTTTCAATTAATTTACGAAGTGCAATTCAAACCTGAACATCATTTTAATATTTAATATTATTATTTAAATGTAAGAAGTTTATATTACACATTTCCTTTAATATTTCCCATTTATTACTTTCGTGTAAGAGTTTTTCAATACAAAATTATTATTTCTAATTAAACGACACTATTACTTCGAAATATTCTTCAACAATGTGTGCTTAAATTGCCAAAAATAGAAAAAGTTTTATATGGGAAAGCATATATACGAATCAAGAAACATATATATATATAAATCAACGAAATAACAGAACTAATGATATTTTCAAAATGCATACTTTTCTCTTTTAGTTTAATTTTGTATTGATATATTTTCGGATATGGCATTATTTTCATTCAATTTTACATTTAATTTCCCTACTCTCACACTTAAGAGTGTTTTATTTTTATTTTTTTTATATTAAAAGATATTCATAATGCATTTTATATACACATACATAGCGATTAGGTAGAATTATGTGCCATCTCCGTTTTTTCGTTAGTATTCTTTCACATATTTCTCATTCCCAAATTTGTTAAAATGGTTTATAATCTCTGCTTTTTAGCGATTTCTTTATGATGAGCATAAATCAATGCAAAAAAATTTAACATTGCACTAAATATGAATTCGATGAAAATGTTTGGCAACCATGTTAACTATTGCATTCAGTTTAATACTCTTACTTGGTAATATTTATGCAAGTATTGATGTCGTTGTTTTTGTAAAATTTTCTTGCTCTGAGAGAAGATTTCTTTGATTACTCGGCAGTATTGGATCCCGTTCGTTATTGTAGAATTTTGTTACTCTGAGAGCAGATTTCTTTGATTATAACCATTTTAATAATTTTCCATTCTTTTTTTTTAGTGTATTTTTGAATTTTGAACGGCAAGGAGTGGTGCACGCAAGAAAGGACAATGAAATAATTGTAATAACAAATAAATTTAATCGATTTTAAAAGAATTCCACTTTAAATAATGAACGAGAAAGAAGCAACAATTTTTAAAATATTTCGTTCTCTTATTTGCGTGAGTGAAGACGACTGTGCCTTCAATAATTGTTGTCTTCTTAAGTGAATAATAAACAAACAAAAAAAAAAAGAAAAACAAAATAAAAAGTACCAACATAGTTTACTAAATAAGGAAAGTAATATAAATTTAATAAGCGTTAGTGTTGAACTTTTTTAATTTATTACAATATGTTTGTGTGCATTCAAAGAATGAAATAAAAAATAATTGAACAATAAAGTAGAACTACAGATTTTCGTCGGCATTTATTTAATCAATTCAATTATTATCGCGTACATGTAAAATTGATAAATTGTGCAAACGAAAAAAAAAGGCACAATTTTATATATATATATATAATGCCTATATATATATATATACACGCATCTATGTATATGTGTATATTATATTATCGTCTTAAATGTATTTTTCGGATGAACTGTAGATGCATACCTATATAATTTCTTAACGAAAGTCGACAATACGTTGATACACTAGCTGCAGGCCGCTGAATTTTGGTCTTTTTAGGTTGTGCGAGTGTTATTTTTCCTTCGTGAAGCATTTTACATTCATTAGTGGCTATTGCCGTCATTGCATCGAACGATAAGCCGACAAGCATTAAATGCAACAACAATAACAGCAATAATAATGAAGCCGTGGTGAGTGACGCGTAATATATGCGTATATATATATATATATATATATATATATATATATATATATATGTATGTATGTATATATATATATATATATATATATGTATAAGTGATTTTTCAACAGTTTTTTGTTGTGCTAAAGCCCAGATATGTGTTCATTATTATTATAGTAGAGAAAAGCATATTTTATAGTATCAACGGGGGCGTTAAGAGACATTTGGAGGAAATAAAAAAAAGTTAAAATTAAAGAAATCCTTTTACTTTTTCTTTTCCTTCTTTCGGCTCAATCACGTTGCTTTTCATATGGTTAATAGGGTTACCGAATTAATTAGTTTTCGAAGTGCATCGATGCACTTTTAAAAATTTATTACGAGGACTGTAGCTTATTCTTGGTTTGGCTTTTACTCCCAGAGAAATAAATAGTAAGACTAGAGTGTTTAAAGTGCTAATATCTGAGGCTATCGACTTCATAGAGTACTCTACCGCACTTGAGATATAAACCCACGATCAATGAGTTGGCAATCGAGATTTTTTGCCTACTCAGCCCACTCAGCCGGATGAACTATTTTTAAAAATGCATTTCTTTTTTCATGACCAAACAGTTTGAGTATAAATAATCATCTATTCATTATAAGCGCATCCTACAATACATCCATCGGTATGGAAAATAATGAATTTAATAAAAAAATTTGCTATTAAAAAGAATCACATATGCTAAGCAATTTCCAACAAATATATATAAAAACGAAATTAAAACAAATTTGCCGAGAGAATGTCGAAATTTGAGTTGAATGTGATTGAGAGGGTTTTTAGTCTTGGGATTACATCTAAATTTGATTCATCAGTTAATTGAATAGACAATTAAACCTACTTGGCGATAGAATAGATCGTAAAGAGAATATTTTTTCATTTTGAATTTAATACGCGGCACTGTAAAAACAAAGATAGGTTTATATGGAATAGATAGATGAAAGTGTCGTGTCACAAAGTAATTATTAGGGGATAGAATTTTATTTTCTGAAAATATGCACCCGATATCACATGGAAAAGCAAAACATTTTGCTACCACTCTCGGTCCTGCCCTGAATATGTGTAAAATAATACTTATTTTGTTCACTTATCTGTTAAAGTTGCG